AATTTCCTAAGCAGTCATCTAGAATCCGCCAAAATGACTACTAGGCTGATTAATTATTAGGTTTGGCAGGTTTGCTTAATTTGAGTTGACCCAATTGTGAAAAAGCTCGAGGCGTTCGACGGGATTTGAACCCGCGTATCAGAGAAGACCTTTACCGGTGATTAAATTCATGGCTCGAGGTGGGGCGTTTGTAGCTTAGCGGTTAGACCGTTGGCCGCCGGTAAAGGCCTTCTCTGATACGCGGGTTCAAATCCCGTCGAACGCCTCGAGCTTTTTCACAATTGGGCCAAATCAAATTAAGGAAATCTGCCAAACCTCCTAATAATCATCATTATTATCACCAGTAGTAGTAGTAGCACCGTCATCAAAGAAATGTAGACGTACTGCAGTTCAGTTCGTCGGAACCATCCGCACAGTCCGGTCTACCATCGCACTGCTGGTGGAGACGAACACATTCTCCACTTGCACATCGGAAGTCACCAGTGAGACATGTGGCTGCAGACAAAAGGACGTGTAGAGACGTGGAAGGAAATTTTAAAAGTCTTGCAACTTATTAAATAAGGGAGCTGTTGCTTAGTACTATTAATCGACGAATGCATTCTTTGACCTAGAGCATTATGCAATCTGATCCGCCTTAAAATAACGTCTTTTCTAAATGCATGCGAAGACACCTTATCCTGCTTTATTGATGCAATACGATCCAGCGAAATTACTATGAGCGAAACATGCCCAAATGAGGAGAGTGAATCAGGAAGCTACTAAGAGAAAAGATGTTAACTTTGCTCGGGACAGCCGAAGATGGGTATGCCGGTTGTCTTCATTTGAAGTAAATTACTTCATTCAAAATGCGAACCAGGACTATGATCGTATGCAAAATACACTTACGAACGTTTACGCGTTTTCAAAGGAGGGCATTGGTTACAATGCTCCCATTGGGGAATTCATGCACTGCAACCCGTAATCCGTTCGGTAAAAAGTTTACTGTAGGCTGTCAACTCATTCTACAGCATTCGGTTTCTGTAAAAGGATACTCTTTCATTCGAAGTTTGGCCCTCATTCCATTCAGACTACTCACAGTAGCCCTTAGGACAGCGTACGGATTATTAATAAATAAGGAAGTGATGATGGAGGAACCGCTGTCTCCTAAGGAACCTTCCACGCCTCCCTCAGCAATAGCACATTCAAGGCTGTAAGAGGCTTGAAAATCGGAGACAAAAGAGCTAGGGAGAACACCTTAGAGACTGTAAACGTACCGCAGTTAAGTTCGTCAGAGCCATCCGCACAGTCCCGGCTGCCATCACACTGCTGTTGTGGCCGAATACATTCTCCACTGCTACATCGGAAGTCGCCATCACGACATTTGGCTAGAGTCAGCAGGAAGGGGAGGAAGTTACTGAGTTTACTTGAATGTTTATTATTGCTGAAGTTAGTTATAACTATCTGAAAGTTTTGAAGGACAGTTTTAACTTTATTTACTACGACCGCCTCCCAACGATCTACGTTAAAGGGGGTGGAAGTCGAGTTCATTGCGTTTTGGATCTCCCTGTCTCCCATCACAGGTAAACTTGATCAAACACGCCTTCCTTGCTCCTCTGTGCAATCGGAGGTAAAACTACTTAACTTTTATGGCAGTCTCCTGTTATCTATTCAAACTGACCTTCTCATTTCATTTCCACCAATTATCCTGGCGTCTAAACGACACTTACAGAGCCTCTCTCTCTGCCTCTCTCCCTCTTTAATGTCTTATGTTGCTAGTTTCCGACTCTCTTTTATAGCAAGATGGTAACTGCATATACAGACCAAACACTGACAGTCCATCTCCTATTGATAGTTTGTTTCCATATTTTTTCAAAGATATTTGAGATGAATACAAGACTAAGTAGCCCCCGTAGCCTTGCGCTAAATTCCAAAGGACGCTCCTATTTTCGTGTTCTACGTAAACCAAAAAACGAACACTAGTTATAACCAGCCTAATCCTAGTCCACCTGACAAAAACCATTCTTAGCCTATCCTTATTCTTTGCATTTACCCCTAAACTAACTATTTTTATCCCTTGGAATTAAGCGTAAGGCCATCTGTAATGCCGA